GATGTCGTAAAAAAACTGAGATAAAAATTTTAAAGCCAAGGGTTTTTTTTTTTTTTTTTTTTTTTTTTGTGAATGTCAAGCCAGGCTTTTGATGAACATTAATTAATGTTTTGATAGTAGCATGTACATACGACCCTACGTGTTAGAAACTTGTAATCGTGTGCAATCATTAAAGGACAAATTTTATAAATTTTCTTTAATTTTATCACTTGTATCAACATACCCCATAAACTTTATAATACGCATGTTGTGCTCCTGAACCTTTTTTTGAGTTCGTCTTTCCGTCTTGGTACAAAACCACGTCTACACTTCATCATAGAGTTCTGCATCATCACCTAATGCTGCAATGAACGCCGAGAAGTTATGACAAAATATAGAGTAATTATTTCAAAAATCAGAAAAAAAAAAAAAAAAACTAAAAGAAATCAAAACATCAACGAGACAAAGGAAAACAGAAAAGATTCCCCTTTAAGTCACTAAATTTTAGTTCATGTGAAGTTATTATAGAAACTCCAGCCACGAGTTCTCTATGTTTCCATTCTTTTAAAATAAGATAGAAAAACATGTAAAATGCTAATAAAATCTCGAGAGAGAGAGAGAGAGAGATTTTCATGTTATAGTTTCCACGCACCAAAGTCCAAGTCATCCGCCAAATGCTTAAAGGTTTCTGAGAAGAAGTCGGAATATGTTGATTCTTCTGATGCAGATATGTTGCGTGGTTCCAGAATGATCAAATCAGAGAAATGGTGGCTTGCTAATGAAGCTTCGTCCGCAGGTACTCTTTGTAGGTAGTTATAATATCTTGGAGGAGTAACAAAGTTAGCGTATGGATCGCAACGTTGCACCAGTGCGGTCCTAGAACTTTTTAGTTTTGGAACTCCAGTTCTAGAACTCGACGCTCTCTCTGATGAAATGCAAGATGCATCTGAATCTTTCGGCAACTGCGGCGACGATTCAAGTCTAAGACAGCGCCAAAGACTAACATACTCGAGAGAGCTTATGTTATAGATGCTATCTGGGACATACTTGAGGTTTTGGCACAATTCCAGGTGCAAAGATTCAAGCCCAACAAGGTTTTCAATTGAAGGGTGTAGCTCTTCTATTGCTGTTCTGTCCAACTCGAGTTCGACTAGACGTTCCATAGGCTCTAAGATTTCTGGAAACTTTTCAAATTTGTAGGAACCAGAAAGATACAAACTCTTGAGAGATTTCAACTTACAGATACTCGTGGGGAGACTTTCAATGTTTCTGCAATCACTGAGATCAAATATCTCAAGACAAGTGATGCGATGGATTGATGAAGGCACTTCTTTAATTGATGTCGCACTCAGATTTAGACATGTTATGTTTCTCGGTAGCTCTGGAAACTCTTTTATAGAATAACAGCCCTCGAGAGTAAGACTTGTAAGCTTTGGCGCATTTGAGAGATCCGGAATTTTAGTAAGATCGTGGCAATAACTAAGATCAATCTTTTTCAAGCTTCCAAGAGGCTGCAATAAAACACACAAGACAATGGCTAGAATGACTTAAATCTATGCAAAAGACACCAATGAATAAGACAAAACCAAAGTAACATTTATATACCTGAACTCCGTCCCAAAGTTTCGCAACCCGACTTTTAGGCATGATAAGCTCCACAAGATTCTCAGCAGAAAAATTTACTGGCAAAAATCTTGAACAGAATCCATCCCATTGCAGATAAGTAAGATTATCAGAAAAAGATATGAGTTCTTCATAAGGGCACACGTTGCTCTCCCCATTACCAGAAGGCGAATTGTAAATTTTCAGAAATCTTAGATTATACATCTTTTGGAAGACTTCTGGATTGAAGTTTATATCTCTAGTCTGAGACATGTCCAAAAGTATTCCTTCAACAGCTTCAGTTCCCTGCAACCAAGAGAAAAGTAAAATATCAGTATGTGGTCTATATGCTGCAAAAGCACTAAAATTACACACAACGGATTTAATTCAGTTCGTACTCACCGTGTTATTTCTCAAGACGTGGTAAACATCTTGAGCATTCCACAACCTACTGCGCCGTCCAGGCTCTTTGATGGATTCTTTCTGAACAATGTTCCATCCCATTTCTTGTATAACATCATGCATCCAAAGTTTGTTATCGTGTGTGATAGTTATTAGAGACTTGTCTACGAGATCATCTATTTCTAGATTACAATTCAGTATCCTTTCTACATGATCCCTTTCCTCCCCTTTAAAGAAACATGCAATATCGAGAAACATACTCTGCTCATTGTCCTGTAGTTCATCGTAACTTGTTCTCAATATACTTTGAATTTTTTCATTGGGAACTTTTTCCAACTTATCCAATGCAATTTCCCATGTTTCCATGCGTTTGGAACGAAGGAAGGAACCCAACACTTTAATAGCTAATGGAATTCCCCCAGCATAGTTTACTGCAACTTTTGACAACTTTGTATAACCTGTGGGCAAGTACATTTCTTTAAGAGCTAATGGGACGTCTCCTGCATTGTTTATCGCCACTTTTGACAACTTTGTGTGACTTGTTGTTGGAGAGTGCGTTTTTTTAAATGTGATTGAATGAAAGAGCTGAAGTGCTTCATCATCATTTAATTCCTCAACTTTGTAAACCTCATCAGCTCCAATATTCCTAAGCACCTGCACATCTCTAGTTGTTATAATAATTCTACTTCCAGGACCAAGATGATCATGATCTCCGATGAGATGTTCTAACTGCTCCGGATCATTCACATCATCAAGAACAATTAGTACCATTTTACGATGGAGCCTACTCAGGGTAAAAGATGATCGAAAATATGATATCTTATGTATATTTTCTTCCAGTAGCTCAGAAAAAAGTTTATCTCGTAAATGATAGTTTCCTTGTTTCTTCCAATCTTCCCTGATGTCTGAAAGAAAGCAGCAACCTTCGAATTTATGAGCAAGTCGTTCAAATACAATACTTGCAAGGGTTGTCTTTCCTATACCACCCATGCCCCAAATGCCTACAACGCGGACATTTCGTGAGCCAACGTCTAACAACATCTCAATTCGCTCAATGCGTTTAGCAATTCCGACCAAACCCCTAAACTCATTGCTTGATGGTACACGATTCAATTTCTTCAGAATATCTTCAACAATTTCATTAACTAATTTGGACTCGGGCCTAGCATATGTGAAGAACAAACATTAGTCAGTAAGAATGAATTAATTAAACAAATTACCTTATGGTAGATATAGTTTGTAGGTTAGTGAGTTGAATCTACTAGACCAACATAAAGGTGGAATGTTTAGCATTTTTTCTCTTTAGGGTCTTTCTTGTTGTACGTAACAAACAGAATAAAACAGAAGTAGAAAGTATTAAGGGTAAAAGTGGGTAGAAAAAGAAATTTGCATTTAACATATTGAAATCTGTTAATTAAGTAAGCTTTAACTTTCCACCAAGTCTGGCAGGGAAAATTCTTCAGAATTCTGATAATGCCATATATGACTAAAAGCAATAATTCTTCTGAACTTGTCACACAACACTTGAATAAAAGATTAAGATCAGATAACAACACGATCTAAGTCTTGTAGCTAGTTTCTTTTCCCTTCTCTGTTGTTGGTCTATTTGATCAGGGATAATAATAGTAAATACAATTAGAAATTACAAGTTTGAGATTACCTAGTGACAATAGAATTCCATCCAGACAGATTTGCTGCAATTGTCAGAGCAGCCCTCCAGTCGCGCACTTTGTCCATTTTGTCGCTAAAACGTTCTTCAAGCACGGCAAATGCATCTGCATAGCTCCCCGACTGTTTCCGCACATGTGATGGATCTATGTTGTGGAAAACGGGAATGACCAACTGTCCGTTTGTTTTCTTGCATTCGAGTATGTGCACGAGCTCATCCAAGCACCACGAGGAGGAAGCATAATTCTCTGAGAAAATTATGACTGAAAGTTTTGATTCCTCGATTGCTTTCTTTATAGCCGGCGAGATCTCCTCTCCTCTATTCAGCATGTCATCAATGTAAGCCTCCATCTTCTTCCGAACCAAAGCCTCGTAAAGATGGCTAGTGAAATTATTACGTGTATCCTCACCTCTAAAACTGATGAAAACATCGTACTTCTTCGATATGGTGAGGACAGCAGAAGAAGAAGTAGTAGCCATATTTGCACTCGGAAGATCTACAGATCAAAACCAGGCTCTCTCCTTGAATAATAGATAAAGATTAAAGACTAAAGGCCGTGGAGATTAATAATAATAGGCTTAAATGACAAAAAGAAAATACGACAAAGTCAACACGCTACATTCGCTTTATTTGAAACTTAAAGTCAGATGTCCCCTATAAAAAGTCGACAATCTCAAAGGAAAAACAATTGTGCCATGTGATTGGTCTTTCTATTTAATTATATTTTTATTTCAAGCCTGGGTTTTAGTTATGGATTCGTCCGTATCTGAAGAAACGCAACCTCAAAGTCAATGGTATATTAGTTGGAAACTACTGAAGAAACGCAACCTCAAAGTCAATGGTATATTAGTTGGAAACTTCGGAATCATGAATGATATATTCATGACTGTCATGAATCAACTTGCTTCGAATGCCGTAAAAGTAACACTTTGAAGTTTGGTTTATTAAACCCACTCGTTATTACTTCAAAAAAAAAAAAAAAAAAAAAAAACGTTGTAGCCTACAAAGTATGGAACAATAGCGCTACTGTTCTTTCCATTTGAATCAAGTAAACAAGTAAATGGAATATATTAGTAATTATACAAGTTCCAAACTATCCCTCTAATCCGTAAAACTACATATATCTCACAAGTTACAAAATCCAACGCAGTCTTTTTTTAAATTTTTCTTTTTTCCCTCCCCTTTCATTGCCCTACTGATATAGTCAGATTCATGTTGTACGTGCATATCAGTCTTTTTCATGGATGAGAAACCACCCGACTGAACCATATGAGGTGAAACCGAATGAGTAAATTCGTCAAAAATACATCAAGGAATTTTAGTTCATTCAACCTAATCCTTAGCGAAATCTAAAAGAGGTGAAACGAACAATCTTCGCAACAACTATTTGAACAAAATCATAGCACTTAAGAATCAGCATGAAATAAATGGTTGAAGTGCCTAGTGTAGAGGGGAAATTAGAGGAATACGACTTTTAAATAATCCGTATTCGAATATGTCATTTCTGTGTAAAATTTATCACTAAATTGCATATAAAATCGGTACAGATGAATAACTAGACTTCAAAAGTGGCAAGGCCCAAGCGTTTTTGAGTCTTTTTCTGACACACACAAAAGCAATCGAAACCTCTCTCCATGTCATTACACTAGTATCAAAACCTAGAATATTTGCACCAGATGGAAATTCTTATTCTGTTGTGGCGATTCTAAGGTTACAAGATGGACTCATACATCGACTTTACTAGCTTCTTTTTGCTTCTGCTATACAGTAATGATAGAGCTCTGGCTAGATGCTTGAGACTCACCGAGAAATTCTGATCTTAATTGCATCAAAAGCCTGCCTAAATAATTTAAACCTTCTCCGTCCCTGCCTCCACCCCAGAAAAGATCATGTGGTGAAGCTTCAACAAGAACGGATCCCGCGGTAGAGAGCAGCATAGAATTCAAATGTGGATAAATAGAGAACTTGCATTTCAGAGCCCTATACATAACATCAATCTTGACACTTTCCCAATCAGATCTTATCTGCATAACAACAGCATTAAAAGAAGAAAACAGTAAACGCAATGCAAACACCCTTTATCCATGAATTTTCAATAATGCACGTGTCAAAAAAATGATAAATGGTTATAATGATTAAAGATCAGTGAGTATATTAATTAATATTAGATGAAAATTAGATCCTCGAGTCCAACTTAATGCCAGAGGTGCCAAAAATCTTCCCTACATCTTCTGTCAGCTTTTAAATAGCCCTAAGTGACAGGTTCCTTATAATAGTAACTACCAAGGCAAAGAGAATGAAACGATTTCAAATATCCAATTGAATAGAAAGAAAATACCAGATCTGGTCGTTTCCGCTGCATTGACCTTCCTATTCTTGCTGCCTCCTCTGGACTTTTAGCAGCCTTTATTTTTGCAACACATTCTTGAGCCAGAGGGTCATCAACCCCGACAAACTTGTGAGCCTGCGTATCGACAATAAAACTGTAATGACATTCTTAAGATCTTATATTGAAGATATATGACTTGTCTAGAAAAAGTGTGGTTACCTGGTAGTAATGTTCCACACTTAACCAAGTGGAATAACCGTCATTGTCATCAGGCATCTGAATTGGATGAGGAGAGAAATTTGACAAAGCACCGTAGAGGTCCCAGGTTTTAAAGAAGAATATGATTTTTGGTTCATATGGAGTGACATTCGGATCAATCGCGTAAGTTTCTTCGACTGATGGGATAACCGGTGTTAGATCTGGTATAGGCTGGAGAAACCCACTAATAAGCATATCAGGTCCAACCTGCAGTTCAAGTCCAAGAGAAAACATAAAACCAATCAGGAGTTCTATTTAACAAGAAGGAAGATTTTTTTCACCTAGAAAAGGCCAAAAACTAGTGCTAACCTGCTCATAACAAACATCAATCAAATCCAAAGCTTGTGACATCTCAACCATCCCCAGTTCACCTACAGGAGAAGGGGCGTGTTTACCACCTATGATTTTGGGAGCAACAAATGCAAAAACCTGCAAGTCGAGAGAAGTATAAAGTATGATGATTAAACAATGGTGGCTCATCATGTAACGGACAGATTACTGTAAAGAAATTCACCAAAACAAAAGGAAAGGGGGGAAAGAGGAAAAAAAAAATTGAAAGAGAATAAAATGAGAGAAACCTTGTGTATTACTCCAGATTGAATAGCAGATGCTGCTAATGTCCCTCCACACTCCCACAAAACTGAAAGATGCCCACGATCATGAAAATATTCCATTACATCTCGGGGGTTTAACATGTCAAACTCCACTACTTCAACTCCTTTTGAAGCAAGAAGTTTCTGGAAACTCCTTCTAGCACCCCTTTGCGTCACAACTATGGTAGACGCCTCGGACATATCCCAAAGATTCGCTTCCTCGGGAAGATCAAGAGTCTGACTCATTACAATCCGCGTAGGCATATGCCCACCTCCATGTCTTGCAGTTAATCTCGGATCTAATTTGAGAAATAAATCAAAGCACATTTAACCATCTTTAACATCTCCCTCTCTTTATCAACAACAAGAAAGTCACAAAGAAAGACAACACTTACTGTCCCTACGCACTGTATTTCCTCCAACGACAACAGCATCACTCCTACCCCGGAGTTCAAAAACTCGACTTCTAGACTTTTTGCTGCTAATCCATGCCGCATGTCCACTACTAGCAGCAATTTTTCCTGTAATTAGTAGCAACAAAGACTATCAAGAGGCTCTTGTCAAATTTGAATTCTACCCTTTTTGTTTATCTCCAAAGATTTTATCAAACGCAATTATATTGACAAAGCTCACCATCAAGAGTCATTGCATACTTGAGAACAGAAAAGGGGACTCGAGAAGCAGCTCTGCAAATTAAAGGAGCATTGACCAGAAGACAACATTTTCGAGCTTCCTATGAGATCAAAACCAATTCTTTTCAACTGCTAGGACACATATCAAAAACGAAATTTTAGCTAAAATGTGAATCAAGTAATGCTATAAATATACCTCGATGATTTTGCTTTTGAGATCCTCTCCAAGAACATCAACCTGAAGTCCGTGACTTCTCATTGCGCGAACAGCATTGCCTCGGAGATGTTGCAGAGGATGCCTAATTCCAACCACAACCCTCTCAATCCCTGCCTAATCCAGAACAAACATCACCAATCAAATTCAACAGCCGAATAAAGCGATCAAAGATGAAAACTTTTGCGAGACCTAACCTCGACGAGGGCGGAGACGGCGGCGTGATCGCCGTGGCAGTCACCGGGTTCCATGTTGAGGTAAGCGGTGGAGCGTCGGCAGCACAAGCCGGCGGCCTCGACGGCGAGGACCTCGGCGGCCTTGGTGCCCTGGGCGTAGAGGAAGCCCTCGCCGGCGACGGAGCCGGAGGGAGTGGCGATGACGCAGCCGGAGTTGGGGTGAGGGGAAGTGAAGCCGGCGGAGAGGTCGGCGAGCTCGGCGGCGCGTCGGATGAAACCGGCATCCTGCGCGTGGGGAATTGCGGCGGAGGAGGAGGTGTTGGAGTTGAAAGCGGCGCTGTCGTGAGAAGCGGATTTGCAGAGAATGGTAGAGGCGTAGGGTGCAAGTCCCAAAGACAACACCATTGGAACTTAGAAGAAGCCAAAACAGATAAAAGTTGTACGGACTGGACTCTGTTAAGTGGCAGCTGGTAAGGATATGAGAGCGCTGATCACAGAGTGTATGATAATACGCAGACTCTTCCCATCTAACACATAATAGTCAACTTATTTTCACTTTAGTCTCATTTAATTTTTTTATTTATTAGAACTTAAATTGAAAATGAGTGAAAAAAAATGCGTGATCTCACTTTAATTCTTTCATTTTTCTATTTGTTTTGAACAAAAGTTCAAATTCTAACAGAAATCTATATTTGTAAAGTCCCAAAAAGAATGCACTTGTGATTAGAATGTTTTTAACTCAAATAAGCGAAACGAACGAGTTGGTTATTATCTCATGTGAAAAGAGAAAGAACATGTTAAAAATTATGAGAAATAGACTGTCATGTGTGGTAGCGGTAAATATGAATGGCAACACAAAAATACCGTCGCAAGTAATAAAGGAAATGGAGATTGCTTTAATTTTAAACAAACAACAAAATAATGTATAGAAATTGGAAAACGGCGTCCGAAACTACAGATAGAAACTCCCTTTTTTTTTCCGACCGATCTGATAGTGTCGTTGAACGATAAATCCATCAAAATTACGTACAAAACTACACCACCTAGTGTCCTACCAGTTCATTTTGATCTCTCTCATCATATATACTAATAAATTACCATTTTTGTTTCTAAAGTACAGCATTTACTTTTTAAAACAGTTTGTTTAGCCACGGTCAATTGTCGTTTCCGATAGCACGATAGTCCCAACATAAACAACTTGTTACCATCGAAATAAACGACGTACCGCAATTACTACAAGACAAAAGACATAGTTCGTATTTCCGACCCCAAAGGTCTTATGTGACTCTTATCGTTCCCTACTTTCCCTTGACAGCATCGCACAGCTTCTTCTGTTTTCATTGACAATCAAGACGCATGTACTTTAACGCAAAACCACGGAGTTACCTTGCAATGGATGACGTGTCGTTTTGAACATCCCCATCTAGACGACGGTAATTATACTAATGCTGACAAATAGACATTTTCCAGCCAATTGAAATTAAAAGACATCCTTTAAAAAAAAAAAAATACGAGACGTATTTCATACCAGAACATAAGACCAGTAGAAAAGATTATTGAAAGTCAAATAAAACCATAAGGATTTCGTCAGCGTCATACCACAAGCACACAATCAATTGTTATTTGTAAGACTACGACAGCTTGAAAAAGCATTTTAATGAGTTTTTATATCTCAGCAAGTAGGTAGATAGCTACGAAGAAGAGGGCCACATGAGACGGAGATAGCAACACCATCAGTCAACTGCTGCTTTTCTATTCCTCCTCTTCTGCCTCTTCCAGCCAATTCACGAATGGCTCCAGGGCCTTCACAAAAGTTTGCCTAACAATGGATTTCCAACCATATTTATCAAGACCCTAGATCATGGTATCATTGGATTTTCAATTTGTGAAAACAAGGAGGAGGAGGAGAAGCATACCTGCCCCTGGGGTTTGTTCCTCGGCGGTACCAATGAAGAATGGTGTCTTCAGCAAGGACATCCTGTTCATACAGAGACCTGATAATGTCAGGGAACAGTTTCATGAGCTTAGCATCTTCGTAGCACTGCATCTGGACTTTGTATGTCAGCTCCAGCTCAAGCTTCCCACTGGTGCAGAAGGTGTTCAAAAGTTTCGCCCATGTTTTCACCTGCATTGTCAAGGAATACAAACGGTTATATGGTGGTCAATACTTCACTCATTGCAGGCTTGCAGCTTACTAATTAATAGTAATAAGGATTATTTTCATAAATGCCCCCGAAGTATGTATCATGTTTCAAAATGCCCCCTGATTTTTTAAAATAGTTTAAAACACCCCCGATCTATAAAAAAATTAAGTCAAAACACCCCCTCCATCTACTTCCGTCTATAATCTTAAAGAATTTGCTGACGTGGCACTTATTTTAAATTAAGTAAAACTATTAAATTCTAATTAAATCAATGAAAAGAAATCACTAATTATTTAAAAAAAAAAAAAACCTCATAAGAACAAAAAAAAAGGACCTCATCTTCTTTCCCTGACCAAAATCCATAGGCTCAAATATGTAACAATAAGAACAACAAATCCAATCTTTAAACAAAAAAAAATAATAATAATAAAATAAAAATAAAAATAAAATCTAATATAATCTCATTTAAGCGTCTCAAAATTTAGAAATGCCAAAAAAAAAAAAAAAACAGATATGTAAAAGAAAACACAACCCATATCTGCAAAAAAAAAAAAAAAAAAAAAAACCAGATCTGTAAAAGAAAAAAAAAATCACTCTCCCACCCTCCTTCACTCCCTCGACTCCTTAGAATCATCAGAGCTCTACGCTGTCATCAATGACCAAGTTTGGACTCCCCAAAGACGACGCCGTGGAGAATATTAAGTCTGACGGAATGCCTTACTGTGGAGGCAAGCGACTTGATCGTCGTTAGAAAGAGGACTACACCGTCGGGAGGTGGGGTTGGACTGTGGAGGCCGGTTTGCAGTTCACAGTTTGAGTGGGTTTTGATAAGAGATTTCAGATGTATTATTTTTTCTAAAACTTTGGGTTTCTGAATTGTTAATTATATAATTGTTCTTTGAATTGTTAATTATATTTATAATTATTCTTTTTTAGTTAAAATTAAGATGTTTTATGTTTTAAAATGAGTGCCACGTCAGCATTCCGTTAGGGTTATAGACGGAAGTGGATGGAAGGGGGATTTTAACCTATTTTCGATAGACCAAGGGGGTTTTGAACCATTTTGAAAAATCAAGGGACATTTTGAAACAGAGTACATGCTTCAAGGGGCATTTATAAAAATAATCCTAGTAATAATTTAGTAGCGTATCACAAACACGAATACACGATATATGTACCTGGCGAAGAGCTGCATTAGCATTTTGCTGCTGGTTCTTCCCAGACCACTGAACAGCATCCATTATGACATCCCAGAGAATTTTCACAACCTCAATGTCTGGCAATTTGGCATCTCTAACACGCTGCTTCACGGTTTCTATGACTTCAGATATGTCAGTTTCCTCTGTTAGCTGAGTTGTCAGGGCAGATTTCATATCCTTGAGTTTCACTTCAAATATTTTCTTGTCATTGTACTCAACCAATGCTACCAGCCCTTCTTTACTGAAATTGCCAATTGTTTCCCATGGATAAGTTCCAAAGTTACAGGTTATACAAGAAACAAGATATCAGTTTTTAACGAATTGCAACAAAAATAAAAATCATAACATAACGGCGACAAAACTGACTGATGACGACCACATAATATCAAGTCTGCAAGAGACCCGAATAGGCAAATACAATTGACATCATTCATAAAGAAAAAACACAAAACAAGTCAAAATAATGAATGAGCTTGAAAAGGGAAAAACAAAAATATTAAGGCCATGTTTAGAAAATAGTAATGGAATGTAATAGGAAAGATTATTGGGATGTTTGGTTCATGGATTCAGAACCATGATTCATTATTCTGATTTTTGAAATTCAAATTTTTTGTGAGAGAAAAATCTTGTAGAGAACCAAGAACCATGAGTCAGAACTAGAGACGAACCCTTAAAACAAACATCCCATATGTGATTGGAATGGAAAGAAATGGAACACGAATAGGGATCATTGATTCCCTTTCTAAGAGATACTTATCTATTAGGAATTAGAACAGGACATAATCCAAATCCCTTTTTAGTGTTTAGTAAACTTACGAATAGTAATCTTACTAATTTAGCTAATAAAATGTCCGTGTGCAAACTTAACAATTATAGGCTTGAGAATTACCAAGGGCATATAAGTATTCCAAGTAACAGAAAACAACACCAGGGGCAGTTAGGCTCG